GCTACGTTGACTAGGACCGCAACAATGAGCACGAATACAGCTACGTTGACTAGGACCGCAACAATGAGCACGAATACAGCTACGTTGACTAGGGGGCCACAGCGCGTGGTTACATCGATGCACCCGATACAGTGTTGTCGATCACAGGAACGTAATAGGAAGGGTAGCGAATTGCTACTCAATCAGCTAGACTGTGGATTTTTCTGAGCGTTTACAATGCCAGATTTTGCATATATATATATATGCTCTAGTAACATATCAAGAAGGTGAGTGTTACAGACACGTACGAACTTACGTATATGCAGGCATACACGCACCCAGGGCTGCCACATCTAAACATGGGCAATTCCATGGCCCAAAAGAAATTAAAATATGGAATTGTTTTAAATAATAGCTCAATACGTCAAAGTCTATATCAATATCTACAAGTGGATTGTAATCATATTGTAAATATTTTCAAGCGTTTACCCTTCTATTAGTTTTAGATTTATGTAAGAAAACAGGATTACCGAATGCATTAATTTTAAAACGTACCATTTTGTAGCTGAATCTGTTTTGAAATCTGTGGAAGAGCATATATATAACCCCAGACCCCTTCCCCCTAGATTATGACAAGTTGGCATTTTTAACTTTAAATACTTCTAAGCATTCACATGCATGGGGTGATAGAGGTGTTTGTGTAACCGAGGTGCTAGATTTACTAGGGGACCGTTTTCCAGATATTGTTTTAACATTCACGTCTGCCAACAAGAAGATGTTGATTCCAGTATGATTGCCCACAACATAAAGAACCAGTATCTAGGATGCACAAATATGTCACTTGAAATAATCAGAATGCTCAGAATATAACGTTATTCGTGCTGGAATAGCCCACATATGATATACTACTATATATATACTCATATTATATATAATTATATTATCAAGAGCTAATAACACCTGTATTATTAGCTCTTGAGATTGTGTTTACCTTATTAAAAGATTTAAGTGAAATAAATTAAACAGAATATTACATAGGGTCATGCATAATAAATGAAACCATTTTGATTACATCTTTTTGATACATATTTTTTAGTATATTGGTAACACTAATTTATGCATACGCGCCTTTCACATCTTAGTTATTATTACATCCTTCCCTTACAAGCTAATGTTGCAGCTTTTTATTTATGACAGCCTGACAGGCATACTACATCCTCACGTACACCACCGACCTAGAACTACCATTGCATGCGGACAGTAACATATTCGCACCCCCCTAAAAATGAAAAACAACTCAATCGGAATGAAACTGTCTGTTGCATGTCTGAATGTCTGCACCTGGAAAATGCTTTCACAGAAAACGCGCAGTTTGTGGCGTTTAGAGCACCTGGTAAGCAGCTTACGATGCTGCCAGATTAGCAGTTATAACCAAGGATCAATAAATCTCTGAACTGGATAGGTCGGGTGTACTACAGGCACTTGGAGCGTTTCAATAAATATCTAGTTATGTGTCAGTGTGCAGCGGCAGCCAGCGTTTGTTGCAGATGAGCATTTGGACGGCATTTGCAGGAAATTGTCAGCAATAATAGGTGAAAGAGACTATAGAAACATTAAGACTTTGGTAGTAAATAGATTTCGTATTTATTTAGCATTATATTTTATTGAAACGCTCCAAGACTTGAAGTGCCTGTGGGGTGTACCACCATACAAGCTTACTCCTACAGGCGGCCACGCATGCATGCATACGTACGCGCACCCAGCCAAATGTGTACCAGTATCACAATTTACTCTTCACTTTAATGCATGTATAAAAGCACCGGCTAACTGAACCAGCAGAAGATGTAGCAGAAACTGTTGTGCAGCAAATGTCAAAATGAGCGAAGGCCCCTGACGCGAAACAAGAACGCACAGGCCTGAGATAGAGAAGTTGAGAGGTCTAAGGAAGCGTTTCACTTCCCGATCCCAGGTTCTAGGGTTTAGCAGGTGCGGTAGTGGCACCCGTTCCTTAAGGGTAGTATCAGGTTGCGTCGATAGATTCCACGATAGATAACACGAACACAGTGTTATAACGCTACTCGTCGTTTGTTCTATTAAACCACAGAATAGTCGTCTTCATCACGGCTTGCACATTAACCGTCTAAACAAACACAACTCTACGAAACTATACAGATGCCTACACACAGAAAATAAGTAATCGAATACAAGTGATCTCGTACCTTAGCGAGGAGGTTGACAGTCTAGACGCTCGGCGGGGTGAAGGTGTGAGGTCGACGGTAGAGCGGAAAAGTAGAGGTGGAATAGGAAGTAGGAGCTAGGCGAAAACTGGACCGATCTGCCGAAAGGGGGAGAGCCGAGTCGTTCTCTACCTGCGAGTTTGGCGTCAACAAATCTGGTCCCCACAGACGGGGCAGGTGGACATCAAGGCGGAATCACCATTACACGTCATGGAATGATTTATTGTGATTGCGTCCGTGCCGCGAACTAATATACATGTACTATCTGTGAAGCCGGCGCTTTCCTACAACAGGTGGAGAGACAGAAATAAAATATGAGCGAACGAGAAAGAGGAAGAGAGACTCAGAGAGAGAAAGAGAAAGGGAGAGAGAGAGAGAGAGAGAGAGAGAGAGAGAGAGAGAGAGAGAGAGAGAGAGAGAGAGAGAGAGAGAGAGAGAGAGGGAGAGAGAGAGAGAGAGAGAGAGAGGGGGAGAGCGAGGAGTTTATGATGAGGAGATTGATGTGGGGGGGTTTGTTAGAGTAATGTTAGAGAGAGAGATGTGAGAGTAGTTATGTTTTTGGTTTTGGGAGACACGAGCAGACATTAGAGAAACGATTGCACCGAGCAGTCGAGACGAGAGGAGAGAGAATAGCTAAGGAGAGAGATTGACGAGAGAGGAGAGAGATCTGAGAGAGTGGAGGAGAGAGACGGATGAAGAGAGAGAGAAGGAGAGAGAGGGGGCGCAGTATGTTGAAGATTTGTGTATCTAATAGGAAGCGACAGCTTAAGTCTTAATCCAGCTTCCTCTGGCCATTAACGCCCACTAACTTGCGTAGCCATCTTACGCCGATACTCCACACCACCTAAACCTCCACTCTGCTCCTCGTCGTCTCTCTCTCTCTCTCTGCTCTCTCTCTCTCTCTCTCTCTGCTCTCTCTCTGCTTTCTCCTCTCTACCTCTGCTCGCTCTCTCATCTCGTCTCTTTCTCTCTCTCCCCGACTCATCTCTCTCTCGCTCTTCTCCTCTCAATCCACCCCCTCTCCTCTGCTCGACTCTGCTCTCTCGGCCCGCGCGCGTCGATCTCTCTCGTCTCTCTGTCTCCTGCTCTCTCTCTCTCTCTCTCCCCCCATCATGCTCTCTTCTCTCTCACTCTCTTCTCTCTCGTCGCTCTTCTCTCGTCATCTCTCTCTCTCTCTCTTCCCCCTCATCTCCACAACTCTCTTTTCCCTCTCATCATCTCCCTCCGCCCGCTCAGTCTCTCTCTCTCTCTCCTTTCTCGTCCTCTCCCCCGTCTCCCTCCTCTCTCTCTCTCTCTCCTCCCCCCCGCCTCTATCCTCCTCCTCTCCTCCTCCGCTCTCCCTCTCCGTTCTCGCTCC